CGCCTTTTTCAAAAATTGCAAATGCAAGGAGGAAGACATATAAAAACAAGCATTTTAAATATCAAAAAAGATTTTTGAAAGAAGTTTGTGAAGACAGAAAAGACATCAGATTACAACTGGCCCATGCAATAGATCAGCTGGTCCGCCGACTTTTCCACAGGTCTATCCTTGGGCCAGCGGACCACCAATTTCGACCCCTGAAAAGTGGACTGTACTGGTCCAGTCAGGCCCCCAGAAGGCCCAGCTTTATTAATTGGCATCCCTTTCTTCACGCCCGAGAATGATTCTGTCGGCTCCTCAAAGGAATTCCATATGTTGACTCCAGTTTAGTTTAACAATACTCCCCTGACAAAGAACCAAAATAATGAGCTACGCTTGGCTGAGCCGAGTCGAGGCCAGGAGGGTCAGAAGCCCTGCGTTAATGATTGTGATGCTACCTTTTGTTAGAGGATTTGGGCTCACAAAAGGAACTTCTGCTCTCTGCAAGGCCTAGGCTTGGCTCAGCCTTTGAAAGGCTTTCACGCATCAGTCTGTCCGCCGGGCTCCCTAAGCGCTGATAGTGTTCAGTAACTGAGTGCTGATAGTGTTCAGTAACTGAGTGCTGAAAGTGTTTTCTTCCCTCATGTAAGGTTATTGGGGAAATTCTTTTACTGCAAAAAGACAGTCAATTCTTTTCCCCAGTTTCGGATATTTGGTTTCAAAATTCCTATTCAGAGGGTGGATTTTTTTACGATTATTCAGAAATTCACATTTTAGTCTCAAACTGGTAATAATTGATGATATTATGCACAAGTACATGTACTATCCAGATCATTACAAAATATCCAAACCCTGGTTTTAAAAAGGAAATACATGTAAGTCACATTTATTTTCACAGCTACATACATACATGTACAATGTGCATGAATATGTACTTTATGTACTTACTCAAAATTGAAACGTTACTGGTGTTTTCTTACCCCTTGAAAGAAGACAAACATAATGTCAGTCATCTCCTGCTTGACAGTAGCATTAAGTGCACCAAGCACCTGAGCAACAGCCAGGAGTGTAATGTAACTACTAGCTGCATGTTCAGCACCACGCTCAGGTTGAACATTGTAGAATAAGGAGAAGGAATCAATCTGAAAGTGAAACACACATACATGTACAGCAATCATGGAAAATTACAAGAGAAGACATACATGTACATATATGTAGTAAATGCCTTACTAACCAATTACATGTACATAGCCCATCTTTTTTGTCATCAGCAGGGTACATGTATGTACATGTAGCTTGCTACCTCGTCTCGATGTAACATCCATGAGGAGGAGCGCCAAGTAGATGCCAAGATGCCGGTCAGACACATCAGCTAGTGGTTCGTAAGGGGAGGGGGCGACTGGCAAGAACTTGAGGAAAGCTTCCCAGGTCCCAGGATAAGACAAGGCATTTGACATGAGGACACTCACGAAACATCCCTCGAAGGAGATATTTGATAGGAGCATTTTCGAAGAGAGTCAAGCCATCGCTGAAGCCTGAGTGAACAGCCAGCAAAGCTGACCAGTAGTTGCAGATGTGGTAACCTGGAGGCCCAATTGGAACAGATACATGAAGAAGTCTTCGACGGAATTCAAAGGAGTTCCGGTTGGAGAAACATCATGTCTCGCACCCTCTAGTAAAATGTAGTCAGTTGATGTAAATCTTGTAAGTGGACAGCCATCGACCCCAGGCAGAAATTGACGCAGCATCTGCAGAAGAACCGAATGCCCTAAAAGATCATTGGACAACATCCAGCACATCAAGTGAAGATTCTCCGGGGGTGGATGATCACTGACTTGGGCTGATGGAGGGAGTCCCTTTTGACCAGAAGGACCAGCAGTCGTTGTACCAGGAGTCTTGTTAGTCTTTGAAACCACAGTTGGCGAGGCCAGAACGGGACGACGAGGAGGACCCGACATACCAGTAGCTCCGTTCTATCTTGGACAAGACCAGCAGGTGGTGGGAAGAAGTATGCCAGAGGGCCAGACCAGTCAATCTGTAGGGTGTCTTTTGCCCACGCCCACGGGTGAGGGAACCTGGAGTGGAATGTTAGAAGATGGGCATTGTTGGTAGGAGCAAAGAGGTCGAACTGAGGATGCTCGATCTCTGTGAAAATCTGACTGACAACATTCAGATAAAAAGGTCCACTCTGTTGGTCAGTTGTTGTGCTATTGCTGGTTCCGCTACCGGCATGTGGACAGCTTGAAGGCTGATCCCCTGATCGATCATCCACATGAAGAGCTGCCAAGCAAGGGCGCAGGAGTTGAGGAGGGTGAGTGCCAACCTGACGACTGATGTATGCCACTGTCGTTAAGGCGTTGCTCTGGACTTGAGTGGAACAACCAACTAAGTGCTGTCGGGAGTGACAAAGAGCATTGAACACCACTTGCAGCTCTAACACGTTGATATGTTTGCCTCGAGAGGCAGTGTCCTTGACCCCAGAGGCGCGGAGTGGAGAAAGAGAGGCTCCCCATCCGTATAGCAATGCATCCATCATCACGGTCACATCTGCACTTGAAGGGACGAAAGTAAGGCCTGCCCACATGCAAAACGAGGCTGCAGTATTCGCTAAGAAATGAATAATGAGCCTTGTTACATTGTCCTATGTTCGAAGTGGCCGTTAGTATCCTTGAGCTCGAGGAGTATGGCCATATCATTACATGCATGGGAATAAGGTCACTCTCCATGCATTGCAAAAATAGAAAAACTGCAGGTAAGGAGCATCCGAAGACGGAAGTTTGCTCCATAATGTAAGAATCCAGATATCCTACCGGTCCATGTATATTATTCAGCATCCAAATACAAAAACAAGTATTATAATATTCCCACTTTTTCACTAGAACAAAAAGTATGCATGGACAAAATGGTGATATTGACAACAAACTTGCCGAGTACTCCTCTTCGTTTCACGGGGTGCAGTTGAAAAAGCAATCCATTAACAAAAGTGAGTGCCGACAGTAGGTACACTTTTGCCACACCTCGTACCATTCACAGAATACACACTTTGGACACGCCCACTTCAAAGGAACTTGTGTCCGGATAGTAGTCTGATACGTAGTTTATCAGTAGGCCTATAAGCTACATGTATTGTTCAAGTTGCAGTCAGGATTAAGCATGTGTGACCCAGACTCACATTCACTATACATGTATAGGGGACGTACAAGCAAATGTTGTAAGATAGCCCAGTAGAGTATACAAGTAACTCCTGCACACCTGGATGCCCCAAAAAGTGGACAGCTCAAGGCAGAGACATACGGCCTGAATAAGAAACGTCACCACAATGTAAAAAAAAAAGTTGGTCAAACAGTGTTGGGCACTCATTATTTGCCCAACCTTGGTTAAAGTTACCACATTTCCAACGCTGTTGGTCAAACACTGACCAACAATTGGGAAGAATCTGCACAAGGTTTGGAAGTTGATACTGTATGTACACCAACATGAACCAAAATATCAACCAAAAGTTGACTTACTTTTCCACAGTGCAGTTGTACCCGTACAAGTTGAAAAATTATTATTGAATGAATTTATTAAGAGCAAATTCAATTCAAAAATAAAATGAATGGGCATTCGTGTACTGGATGGAAAAACAGAGCCAGATGTGAAGCCGGAAATGAAGCTCGGAAGCAGAGCCGATTACAAATCCGGGTGAGGATCTGGATGGAGATCCTCACATGGGGGATTCGGGTCAACAGCAAATCACAGGGGGAGTTGAGGTTGACTTGAGGCCGCTAACTATAGTGGATAGCATCTCCGAGGGAGCGGACTGCTATCAAATTAGATGAAGAAACACCGGTACATCTTACTTAGGTGTAGAGCAAGATTTCTGAATCTGAACCCGGCAAAAAAACCATTAGTTTTTATGCTTCTTATGTGCAGATGATACGGCTAAAGAATGCGCCAGGAAAGCAGCACCAGGAAGACAAATTGATGCATCAACACAGTCTTTAAGGTTAGTTTACAGCCTTACCAATGTCAAAAGAAATAGAAAGTATGGGGGAAAAAGGTTAAGAACACGGTGACAATACTTAAAGACAAGAAAATGAAGAAAATGCAGAAAAATACTCCAGCCCAGCAGAATCAACATTATGTAATGCCCCCGGCAGGAAGTAGTTAAACATACACCGTACCGGTACATGTACAAAAATCAGGTACAGTGTGCAAGCATCCAAACACGCTAAGTTGGTTACAGGAAAGATTCATGCAATGCACATACCTGAGCTGCAGCCACGATAAGTGACTTCTTCTTAAGTGGTTTTGTCTTGCTGGTTGGTTTCAATGTCACCCATACATTATGATCACCAAGGGGATCACAGAAGAGAGCTGATACATGGAAAGTTAATGCCAAAATAAGAAATGGATAATGAATGGTGATTAGCAGGATTTCTTGGAAAGAGTTTTTCAGATCTATTTCTATTTTGCTTCCTACAAAAGTAATTTCTTCTTTATTTTTAATCTACAAAAAGACCATTTGATCTATCGACACACACATGACATACATGTAAATTACCTAAATTGATACAGGTACTGTACATACCGGTACAGTGTAGTACACTAATGATTAAATTGAAGTACCCATGAAAATGCGAGCGAGTACGAGGACTTACGGCCGTTTACGTGCGCTTTCGAGGGTCTCGTAACTGCTCGAAAGGTCTCGCAATACCCCGCACTCGCTCGAACTCGCTCGATAACCCTCGTGTGCACACGTAAATAGACCAACCTTCGAACGAGAGTTTGCGAGGGTTCATTGACCCGTGAAACGACGGCTACTTCCCAACTATGAACCATTAATGTGGACGGACTGTTGATCGGTCGAATGGTAAGATGGAAAAACGACGGTCAACGCGACATGTGCAACTTCGTAGTCGGGCCTGGTATAACGGATTCCTTTTTCAGTGTGACGTATTAGAGAATAGCTTTCGTTATAAACTATCGATATGTTTTGTTCTATATTCCATTAATTAAATAGGGCTTGAATGCGCAGGTAATTAACCATTTTTATCATACAATGTCGTAAATGGTATTCATCGTAGTAGTTGGGTGAATATCCGTCGTGGCAATGAGTTTTTGTGTGTGAGGTTTTGTCCGTGTGTGTGACCAGTGAACGACTCTTGCTTGTCCGTTGAATGTTTACGCCAGCATTTCACGTTAGTTTTGAATTTCGTAAAAAAAAACAGTGTTCATTGTAGTGACTGGGTTTAGTGCCTTCGTCTTTCGTGAAGGAGTTTACACATGTGATTCGAATGGTTTTCATTACGTGTGAGTTTCTAGTTAAGTGAACTTTGCTCAACTCGTACCTAAATGTACTCTTGCAAATAAATTCGTGACCCAATGGTCTCCAATTTAGCGTGTTAACACACAATTGTCACGGCTAAAAGTTTCGTGAATGACTCTGCGTACCGTTATTTAAGTTGGTTCAGATTGTGATTAACTTTTATATTATTCTTTTACAGATACTGGGGTGGATGGTCCTACAAGAGATACCATGTACATGTACCTTCAACTCGGACAATTGTGGAGAAGCTCACATAGATCTTTTTGCTCTGTCTGTTGGCAATTAAATTTGACATTTGAAAGTAGTATCATTGGATCTTTTTTATTTTCAAGGGGCAAAAATACATGTATGCAATTCCCCTTTGTTATTATTTATTATTATTAGTTCTGAAATGTATGAATTTATAAAAAGGAAAAGACTGACAGACACTGTACGTTTTTGTCATCAACGCCACTCTTTGTTCAGGTGCAAATGATCAATTGCTTCACATCGAAATATATGAAAAGGATAGAAAATCCTGTAACTGCACAGCACTGTGGCGAATCCCTAAATACACATTTTTCACCCCAAAGAGAGACCCATTCAATCTTTCGACCCCAAACTTGACGTATGATGTCGGAGACTGATTTCAGGTTATTCCTGAAAATTTCAACACAATTGATAAATTTTTACAAACCCAAATACAGGAAAATGATAAAAAATCATGTAACTGCACAACACTATGGCGAATCCCTAAATACACATTTTTCACACAAAAAGAGAACCATTCAATCTTTTGACCCCAAACTTGACGTATGATGTCGGAGACTGATTTCAGGTTATTCCTGAAAATTTCAACCCAAATGATCAATTGTTACACATCCAAATATATGAAAATGATAAAAAATCATGTAGCTGCTCGGAACTATCANTGCTGTTGGCAATTAAATTTCGCCATTTGAAAGTAGTATCATTGGATCTTTTTTATTTTCAAGGGGCAAAAATACATCTTTGCAATTTATTTCCTTCCCCATTGTTATTATTTATTATTATTAGTTCTGAAATGTATGAATTTAAAAAAAGGAAAAGACTGACAGACACTGTACGTTTTTGTCATCAACGCCACTCTTTGTTCAGGTGCAAATGATCAATTTCTTCACACCCAAATATATGAAAATGATAGAAAATCATGTAACTGCACAACACTATGGCATATCCCTGAATACACACTTTTCACCACAAAAAGAAAACCATTCAATCTTTTGACCCCAAACTTGACGTATGATGTCGGAGACTGATTTCGGGTTATTCCTGAAAATTTCAACCCAAATGATCAATTTTTACACATCCAAATATTTAAAAATGACAAAAAATCATGTAACTGCTCGGAACTATGGTGAATCCCTAAATACAAATTTTTCACCCTAAAAATTGAACCGTTCAATTTTTTGACCCCAAACTTGACGTATGATGTTGGAAACTGATTTTGGGTCATTCCTGAGAATTTCAGCCCAAATGATGAATTTTTACACATCCAAATATATGAAAATGATAGAAAATCATGTAACTGCTCAGAACTATTGCGAATCCCTAAAAACACATTTTTCACCCTTAAAATTGAACCGTTCTACCTTTTGACCCCAAACTTGACGTATGATGTTGGAGACTGATTTCGGGTTATTCCTGAAATTTCAACCCAAATGATCAATTGTTACACATCCAAAAATATGAAAATGATAAAAAATCATGTAACTGCTCGGAACTATGGCGAATCCCTAAATACAAATTTTTCACCCTAAAAACTGAACCGTTCAATCTTTTGACCCCAAACTTGACTCATGATGTCGAAGACTGATTTCGGGTTATTCCTGAAAATTTCAACCCAAATGATCAATTTTTACACATCCAAATATAGGAAAATAATAGAAAATCATGTAACTGCACAACACGACCCGAAGCCTGAGACAGAGACGAAGTTGAGTACGTAGCGCAGTATCTTACGATCGACTAGACTGTACACACAGCATGAGTTTACATTTAGGTGCATGTACATACGTGCACGTTTAGGTACTAGGTATCAGGTCGACTGGTTTGTGGTCGCACACAGTTTGCAGGGGAGCTGAGTGAAACGTTTCACGCGTGCAAAGATTCCAGTACAATCAATCGGATTCAATCGAACGCTGGGCAGGATGTCGAACCGAACATTAATATTAATAATGGTTGTAACAGGCATGGAAATCTTTCCGGTTGAACTGGAATTCCGTTTTTTTCACATTCAAATTTGTGGTCTTCGAGTTCAGTGTAAAAATGGAATAAAATCTGGGAGGTACGTTTTGGTGGGGTAAATGTTAGTTGACCCATGGTTGACCACGCAGCGTTCAAAATTTCCCTAAAACTTAGTGAAAGTTGTACGTTGAAATAATTCGATTTACACGACGCTTCGGGACCCTTCGAAGTGTACACAAGGAACTAATTTCATGGATTCCCACAAAACGTGAATTCTCTTTGCGTAACCAAACTAGTGAAGAGTGGTGTCGCTATATTAGCTCTTCTTGCGCTTCGCCACAGCCACTTCGCGTGAATATGACCAGTGTCCACAAAAATCCGATCCGTAAAAATTAGAATCTTACCTGTTATTGGTTAATTCCTCTCACATGACTGGCCATTCTCCTAATTATCATACAGCATGCAGCCAAATACAAAAAGCCATGCAAACACTTCCGTAAAAGAAGAAATTTTTAAATTTTTAAAAACTGAGATA